GGACTCTTTCGTCTGCGCTCTCAAGTTTTTTCTAGTTTCTTTCTATCTGTCCTTCAGTACACAAAAACAACATCAACACATTTAGTTACGCACTTAATTTCACGTAGATTCCATATATGTATTTTGTGTAGTGCAAAATGCTCCCGGGAAACGTATTCAATCCCGATCTCAGATTTCCAAATATTGCCAAATCCGAACCTCAAAAATCTCATCATATCAGCAACAGATGAAAAAAGCCTCTATCACATTATTCGTGGTTCCTAGTGGAGTGGTTATACTCACTCTCGACCTCTTCCATCTGCCTGAAACCATTAAAATTTCTTGACGCAAAGAACGATTAGGAGAGTACTTCCCCAACCCAATGCGATACAGCATTGTCGAAACGATCGCATGTGCGAAGTGTTTAACCTCCCTCCATTCCAAGTCCGGATTGCACTCACACAAATTGTTCCAATTGTGATATTAACCACGCCTCTAGCTTCAACAAATGCCCTAAACTTCAGCAAATTACAGCTGTACCCTCCCACCTTTCAATCATTTTTCCGTCCACACCCTCGCAACAGCGAAAGCATCAACTGCAACCTGCAACCTGCAAACTGCCCATAGATTACACTGTCCCTTCTAACCCATCTTCCAAAGTTAAGTCTCACTCAACAGTTCATTAAAAAAACAATTACTTTGTTACCCCTTCTTTAAATTCCTTGATCGATGTTTGGACATATCAACCACCAATGCTTCGAATCGTTCAAATAATTAATTTACAATAACAACATTATATCCCAGTACAATAACATTTATATTAAAATTCTAATAAAAAAATATATTTCTCTCATTTTGTTGAATGAAACTCTCATTCCAAACAATGTTTTCTCATATAAACAGGGAGTCACTATACTCGTTAAGAGAAGCATTCCCCACAGCACCGTTCCCATCCCCCACTCAGTCATCTCCTCCATAGCCATAGAAATTCAATCCCCAAACAAAAACTCGTTTATATGCTTATTCCCCTCCAGACCAATCGTTCTCAACATACGATTTCCTGAACCTCTTTTCCTTTAGCTCTGATCCATATCTATTAAACGAAACGCCGAAGCATTGAAGACGCCATCCCAATCACAAATGTATCATCCTCAACGACGGTTCTTCTACACACTTTTCCACTGATTCTACTTTCATCCACATATACCTCACTTTCTGTTCTTCCTCCCTCTCCTCCAAAACTTCCTGGTGTTGTATCGATGATTTCTACGGAAGTGACAATTTCTCCATCTTCTCTAGAGTTTCCTTCCCTAGCCCTGCCTCCCGCTTCGAAGCCAGAGTTCGCTTCAAAATCGACCAAGTTGACTGGAATCGGTTCAACCAAGCTTGTGTAGCCACATCTAGGCACTTCCCAGTCTCCTCTAACGTAAACCAAGAATCACGCATACAAAAAATTATTCGTATAGCTGCAAACGATTCCATTTCCCAATCTTCTTCTAAACAAACGCCACGTTGGTGGAACAGTGACATCATTGTCCTCAGAACTCGCCCTTCAATTCTGCAATGTTTCCTCTAACTGAATTTTCCCTCTCACTTGTCCCGTGCGGCTAAGTTCTTATATTCCAAAACCTCTGAAACCCTTTCTGCTCTTTCCCAAAACACCTGGTGTTGATAAAATATCATAACCTATCATTAAGCAGCTCCCTCATACCCTTCCTAACCGTCTAACCAACCTCTACAAATTGGCTCAAAAATTTACAATTTGGCTAAATCATTTCTTTCCAAACGCAAATTGATTGTCCTCCGACACACTCACCTTGATACTGGCACCCCTCAACGGTTTCCTCTTTCTATCATTATCTTTAGAATTGTTTGCAATATTTTAGCTGCTTTCACTTACATTAATCATTAAATTTTTGCCGATGACCTCGTACTATTCTTCTTCAGGTTTGACACTAGTAATGGATTTCTTACCGACGAAATCTAAACTCATACATATTTATTAAAAAAAAACATCACTGTAACACACCTACTCTTGAACCCGAGCCTTCCGAATGGCAGTACGCAATGCCAGCCACTCGGCTACCACGGCTGCCAGAATCAGATGAAAACAAATAAACAATATACAAAAATCTTCAATCGGTTTGGATCTTTTGTGTGTGAGCGTAGATCACGTTCACATTTGTATATGTCTCTGTTATTGTTGTTTTTGTAGCGGTTGGCTAACCCCGCTTAGGCACAGGTTTGATCAATCTAAGTCAGCGAGGTCATCAAGTGGGAGGTCCAGGAAACGAGCGGTTCCGACGGTGTTGGACCAAAGGGAGTGAGGGGTTAGATGGCTTGGATTGAGAGGGCATGTGAAAAGGTGGTTAGTATCGTGCGGAGACTCTCCACATGCAGGACATATGTTGGGTATGCTGTGGTCTTGTCTGGATAAGTAGGAGGTTAACCTCCTACAATATCCAGACCTGAGTTGTGTCAGTGTCACGCGGGTCTCTCGAGGCAGCTCGAGCTCGTTGTCTACTATAGTGTGGTTTTTCTCCGAGCACGCCATTCACTGGAAGGTGTTGACTGACTCCTGGGGAATGGCGTTCAGTGCTTGTCTGTACGCCGTCCTGTCCAGGGGTTGTTGCACATATTGCTGGATTGTGTCCTTTAAATCTAATATTATCTTTCTGATGTGTGTGGAGGTTCAGCTTCTATTAAGTGCCTCCTAGGCACAGCAAACCATTATGCTCCTTAACTCGTAGCATAGATTCTTCGCTGTGCAAGTGATGCTCCAGCGACATCAGGAGGTTTCCTGTCGCGGTGTTCTGGCAAGCCTGTAGCTTCTTCGTCTGCGTCTCGTTCATCCCCGGCGCGCAGAGGAGAGGTTGCAGAAGTTTAGGTGTTCCTCCCACTTTTTCCGGTTATGATTTTTGATTACTCTTCGAATCTTTGCCTTTTAATCTCTAATTAGGGTATTCCCTGGATCGGAGCTCCGGAGGGTGTCGCGTCTGGAGGCTAATACCGCCGCTTCTGTCGAAAAATTTGGGCGGATTCCCGCGATTCCGCCTGCCGGGATGAAGCGGGCGGCAGCGGTCCCGACGACCCTGCGGAATAAACGCTCACCAGTGGTGACGCCTGATGGAGTGGGAAGAGCACTAAAGGCGTTCTCAGTGAATTCCGTGAAGCCGGGCCAGTTAGCTTTTTTGAAGTTAACAAATGTCCGGTGGTCCGCGGAAACAAAGTCGGGACGCCTGTCAATCGAGATTTGTATGGGCAAGTGGTCCGATGCTAGTGTCAGAACAAGTTGCCAGACTATACTGTTTATCAGACCAGCACTCGCAATTGTTATGTCTGGCGAGCTTTGGCAATTACCCATAACTCTGGTGGGGTTTTGTTGTTCATTGTGCAGAATGGTGAATCGTCTAATTGTTCTGCCAGCTCCATTCCTCTACGGTCATTTGACAGGCTAGAACGCCAAAGATCGTGATGGGCGTTAAAGTCGCCCAAAACCAATCGGTTTTCGCATCTGAGTAGCGCACCTATATCAGGGGTGTCTCCTGCTGGGCTACTTGTAACTGGAGGAATGTATATATTAAATATCTCGAGCTCGACATCGCCTGACCGGAGAGCTATGCCCTGACATTCTAGTGTAGTATCCCTGCGGTCGATGCCGCCATCGATAAGACGATACTGCACGGTTTGTGCAAGATAAACGCTAGGCCCCCACCATGGTCTCGCTCGCAATCCTTGCGGATTATGTTATATCCGGCCCGGCTTCCTGGATCGCAGCAATTGACAGCGGCTCCCGGCTCATGTAGTCGACTATCTCGTCGATCTTTCCCTGGAGTCCGTTGCAGAGAAATTGTAGGACTCGGGTCTGTCTCGGGGGAACGTTCGTGATGTGTTGCTGCTGTAATGCCCGCAGAGGTTGGTTCCGCACATTGGTGTTAGTTGGCGGAGGGTTTGTCAAAACAGGCGGGGGCAGACTTCTACAGCACGCGGCAACATATGCATTTCTCCACTCACGGGTGCAGGCCAGAGCACGTTCGAAAGTGACACCAGCCAGAGCAAAGGTTTCATCTAATTGAGGTCGCGTTCCGACGCACGGAACAGACAGTGCGGGGGACTAGGAGCTGCTGGGTAGCCCTCGCACGGGGGGAGGATGAGGAGCTGGTTGTAGGTTAGGATGAGGATGGAGGCTGGTGGGAGTCATTCTGCGGGGAGCTCCGTGAGATCGTAGAGGTCTGTTGATTACCCTGAGTGGGTAAGGGTGCTGAAGACACTGCCGCGAAGGCTGGGGGGCGATTGGTCGCTGGCAGCATGAGGCCACATAACTCGTGGTCCACTTCCTGTGAGTCTTAAAGCCTGAGCAGAGGTCTTAAGGTGACTCCAACCACTCCAGGGTTGGTTTCGGCACCATAAGGATTTGGAGCAGCCCAGCTGCAAGGTGTTGCTCCGTTGGTAAACTTTAAGTAATGTTACCTGTTGACCAAAACGGGGTTAGGTCGCCGAAAGGGTGACAGCCCTTGGCCGGATAAAATCGGGGTCAACTCCGGTGTGTAGAACCGGCTGTCTCGTATGTCTCTAATAAACACTTCTTTACATCAGTTATAATATGCGAACGCCAAGCATATGTATGTATATACAAATATGCAATATATTATATGTACATAGGATGACAATAGTATTATAAGATAATTAAATCTATTGTTGTTGGAGCCGCAAATATATTCCGCAAAGTGAGTTTTGGGGAATGTTGCAGGATTAACAGTTCTTGAGCGGAAAAAATGCGAGTTCTTTCGAAATAAAAACCCCAGCGTCGCGGGAGCTTTGGAATATTTGTCGAGTCTTACGATATACTAACCCATGTACGCGGAAAAAGACTTAAACCGCTATCCCATCATAGTTGGAACTTAATTAAAATTTTTCATCATTCGTTATCTATCCCATCTTTTACACCGATTATAAATCTAAATCAAATGAAATACTATGGGTGTTCGGGTCCACTGGTTTTAAATAAAATTACCAACTTTGATTTAAATTTTATTTCACAAATTTTTCTAACGGAACAGATATTTTTGATAAAGATAAACCAGTTTTTTGGGTTTACAGCTATAAATATGTCCTTGTTTCTTTATTTCCACACTTACTTATCTTCTATCTAAGAAATGTTAATTTAATATGTAAGCATTTAATAGTTCACACACAGTTATAGGTTCGAGTTTGGCTCTGTTGGTAGTTATTTTCTCTTTTTACATTTGTTGCGGCCCTTGCGTCTCCTACCCGAATTTTTCGTCGTTTTGCAATTTTTAGATTTCTGTGGTGTTAGCGTTTGATTTGATCCCTTGTTCAATCGGTTCACACCTTGTCCGCCAATTTTTTTCGATGGTAATAGATGTTGGCTAACTAATTCTCCAAGTACACCTTGATGAGCAAGCATTGACAAAAACGTGCAAATGAATTCGTCGTAATTATGAGTGCGTCGACAGTCATCAACCTGTAATAAATGTTTAAAATAGAGTATTTTATTTTAAAGTAGCTTAATAGAGTAGGTAGTCAATTAAATTAATACAAAATACAGTGCAACCTCTACTTGCGGACACCTCCAATAATCAGACAATATGTAATAGAACAATTGTTCACCAGGTATCATGAAGAAACGCCTTAGTTGGGGCAATTTATTTACCAAAATGTTTGTTAACGATTATTTAAACTAAAACGTAAAGTAGCGTAATTTTGAGGCAATTTTGCAATTATATTTCTTTTGTCGACTCGTAACAATATTTTATAAACAATCTTAAAAATTAATTGGTATTGACACTAACACACTTAGACTAGAATGGCTTTATGATACCGCCATAAGGTTCCTGTCCTCGAGAGGAGGCAGCCCTGTGGATCAGTACGATAGTAGCTACGTGACAGAGAGCGCAAGGAGTTAGAGAGAGAACCACCACAACAGTACGTAACCCCTGCGATTTAGGGGCTCAAGAATTTACCCGCGGTAAGGCATGCCTGTCGTAAGAGGCGACTAAAATCCAATAGTTCCCGCGACAGTCGGGTCTTTATACCGGAACGACCCGGATTTTTATCCGGCCAAGGACTGTCACTCCCGCAATATTCCCCAAAAAGTACTTTGGGGAATAATTTTGCGGTTACAACAACAACCACAACAGTACATAGGTTATGCTTCAAACAGCCTACAAAGCTACATCACCGGAAGGACTATCGCCTAATCAGTTTAACTTCTTTTCTGTTGAAAACATTGGCACGCTGGATAGATCTTCACGTCAACCAAACAGTGGATGATAGTCTAGTATCAAAAAATTACAGCTTACCTATACACATGGTAAATCGGTAAACACATAATGCCGCTTGGGAGATAGAATCGGATCTCTAAAATGGGGAATATGCTGTGCGTATTTTCTTCGACATATCTGGGTTAGAGTCAATAGTCGACCCTGTCCTTACGGATTGGATATATGTCTTGCCAAGTTGGAGGAAAACCCAAGCGGAGAATAGTCGTTGTGACGCGGATTTTTCACAATTGGTGCTCAAGAGGTGAAGTGCAGTCACCACTGCTCTGGACCCCTGCGGTCAATGGGTTGCTAAAGAAGATAGAAGAACTGTCATGCTTGCAACCGGTAAGTGCTTGGCATCCTTGGATCTCTTGTGAATCAGGCATTTGGAAAACTTAAGGTTCATGCTATTATGATGGAAAAAAAATTTCAGCTTGGATCGAAACAAAGTTGGGAGATGCCACTTTACAGCAAAAACGAAGCCCTGGGGTAGCAATTTCCCGTAGATACTCAACGTAAAGAGGCGGAAGAAGAAGGCATATCGGCACTATATACCTATAAAAGGATGTTGGACTGTAATATCTCCAGCTATCTCTTACTTGATCTTTGTTGCGATCGTTAAGTCAGTTATAAAATGGTTATGGTATGGCTATGTAGAAGGCAACATATCTGTTGATTTAAGTAAAAAGCCAGCTATGTACTGTTTGGTCTAAATCAAAGGGAAAAATATACCTGATAATCTAAGTAGAAAGCTACTTACGAACGGATTATCAAAGAAATTGTACCATTATTGAAATTTTTTAGAATAATCTCTTACCTTAAACATATATCTCTTATCATTTTCATCATTTAATTGTTGTTCGCAAATTGCTATTTCAGCCACGAGATTTTTTAGTAAAGATTGCAAGTCGCGAATTGTAAAAGCGTTTGGTTCCATTGCTGGAGAGGGCGGAGATCTTATTTTGTATTCTTCCGTTCCAGGACATTCTATATCAATCTTTAAATTCTTTAAACATTCAGAATCATTTGCTTTTAAAAGCTTTTGAAGAGTACCTGATACAATAGCCTGATTAGTACGCAACATTTTCAATTTATGTGTAATTGCTATGCGCCGATCAGGTACAACTGCCATTAAGTTGAAACGTATGTCTTGTTCTCCAGTCGCAATTCCAAGTCTTTCAGCCATTATGCATCGAAATTTATCCGTCCAATCTTCATTATCCTTCCAAGGACCGTGGTCAATAGGAAACGGTTTCAACCCGTCTAACTCGAAAAGATGGCCGTTAATCGGAACATAACTAACGAAATGAAATGCTTCCCCCGTGAAACGACCAGTGGATACACCTGAAGCAGAACTTCTGTCCAATCGTCGTTTTGCTTGAGACATTGCATGGGAATTATGGGCGCAAGCTAATTCTGGAGTATTACCAATAGCCCAACCTTTATTCTCTGGACACATACCTTGTGTATGAGCTTTTAAACGACTTAAGGTTGCTCCCAGATGTAAATCTGCGTCGTTACTGTTAAGAAGGACCGATAATAAAGCATGTGTAGCACAACTATTAGGGACCACTTGTTGGGCGAAAAATATTCTTGAAACTTCTTCTTCATCTTTAACAAATATTTCCGCCGTAGCTTCCACTATTTTTCGTCTTGCTCTTCTTTCTTCCATCCAACGGAAAAGAAATATAAAGCCATAAACCGGACCATCTATGGGTTTATGAAGATCATAAACCTCCTCTACTTGTACATTTTTTACACCAAAATCTTCCAGAAGAAGAGTAAATAGCCCTGGGTCCGACTCCAATTCCAACCAGCCATCAGTCAAACGATTTAAATCCACCGGCATGATGTTCTTAAGGTCATGTTCCACAAATAAACATTAAAATCCTGTGTTTTTCCGTTCAGATTATTTTCTTACTTGAACGTTAAAGAATTTATGTTTCCAAAATGCAATACAAATCAACAATCCCATGAGATTAATATTAAAATCGAGCTCTATCCTTTAATTTTAAAAAAATACTAACTAGAGTTGGTATACGATGTGTTATCCGCTAATCGATAGTTTACATAAAAAAGGACCAAAACATGACAATGTGTTTACAATAGCACATAAGTTATGTATAATTTCTATTTTGGGCTATGCTTACCTTTACGTTTGCAATGCTTGTTTCAGCCAAACTAATTGACCAATGCTTATGAAATTTGCAGAAGCTGTTGCTGTTGATCTAATTTATGTTTATTTATTATAATTAGCACAAAAATATTTATAAATTATAAAGAATTAGCTGTTAACACGTGCACTGCTTTAACACACATGATGCAAAATACTAACTCTAATCTGTTCACATGCGATTGCTAAAAGATGTTGTATTTTTATATTATTTGGTTAGCAGAAATATATTATTTTATTTTTGTAAATTATTTCGATATGATTTGCAAGGGAAAAGTTTGACAATAACAACAAGTGGCTGTTGCCGCACGGCATAAGAATAAAAAACACTACTACACAGGGTTGTAAGTACATAATTATAATTAAAAAAAAAATGTTTATATTTCATGAGAGGAATGACATAAAATATTTTGTAAGATGAAGTAGGAGTAAGTTCGACCCAGGGTGTTGGTCTGGCCCAGGGTTACAATCAAAAGCGCGGCCGAAGGTCCCCAACTTACAAAGAAGTTTCGCCTAAAAATACTGTGCAAGGCGAGGTCGGTGTTGGTCCGGCCCAGGGTTACGGAAGCGCGGCCAAAGGCCTCCAACTTACCAAGAAGTTTCGCATAAAATACTGTTACGATTTTACTAAATCAACCTCGATTATTTTCTAGATCCTTCGGGTACGATCTCTGGATTGTTAAATAAAAACTCGCCAATTTAATTTGCAGTATCTTCCGTTATAAAGATTCTATCTAATGTCCTTTATTT